TTTGCCGCCGTCCTCACAGCGGGGTAAGTCGGCTCCGATACGTCGAATTCAGCTACGCTATTCGCGTAGCTGAATTTGCGTATCTTAAATCGACGCCCCCCATAGTGAAGACCTGCCCTCAGAGTGTTCCTTGGACGTATTTGTGAAAAGGCTTCCTGGGGAACTGACAACAGAAGTGAATTCAGGCTGCCCAGTCCAGTCACAGGAGAGCCCAGGGTACGTGGGGAACTTTTGGGTTAGAACTCCTGAATAACCTACCAGCTGGAGTAAACCTAATACGCATTCTCATCATTTGGGAAAAGAAAAAAAGACTTTCCTTGTCAATGGGGGTGGGGGAGGAGAGGTGAAGGAGGGGAATGTTAAAGTAAACAGCTCACCATTGGCATAAATAAACTCTGAAATTCATTAACTGCTCCCTCTGCTCCCTGGGTTGTTTGCTCTAGTCTAAGCAAAGAAAAGAGCCTGTTGAAATTAACATTTGCAATAACCAGGGCAAAGGATACCCACCCCTCCCCCATCCCTGCTGCCCAGCAGACATGTTTGTGTAGTGGATTTCTTAAAATGTACACTGACTTTTTAGGAACATGCACAAATAATAATAACCTCTCCTTCCTAGGCTGAGGTCCCCCTAGCTGATCCCCAGAACTGGGGCTTCATTTTCTGTTACGTGCGGCGATATCAAACACACAAGTACAAAATGGGGAATGATGGTAGGCGAGCCGTACTGCTCACAAGGGTCTGGGGGAGTTACAGTGGGTCACAAATCCAATATGAGCCAACAATGTGGTGCAGCTGCAAAAAGGGCTAATGTCATTCTGGGTGGTATTAACAGCATTGTCGTATGTGAGACATGGGAAATAATTGTCTTGGTCTCCTCAACACTGGTGACGCCTCAGCTGGAGTGCTGTGTCCAGTTCCAGGTGCTGCACTTTAAGAAAGATGTGGATAAACTGGAGAGAATCCAGAAGAGAGCAACAAAAATGAGAAAAGGTTTAGAAAAGCTGAGCTGTGAGGCAAGGCTAAAAGGGCTGGGCATGTTTAAGGAGACTGAGTGGGGACCTGAGAACAGTCTCCAAAAGTGTTAAGGGCTGTTCTAAAGAGGACGGGGATCAATTGTTCTCCATGGTCACTGAAGGCAGGACAAGAAGTAATGGGCTTAATCTGTAGCCAGGGAAATTTAGGTCAGAGAGTAGAAAACCCTTTTTAACTCTACGGATAGATAAGCTCTGGAACAGGGAGGTTCCAGGGAGGTTGTGGGGAGGTTTTTAACAGGTTAGACAAACACCTGTCTGGGATGCTCTCAGCAGACTTGGTCCTGCCTCAGAGCGAAGGGATAGACTAGATGGCCTCACGACATCCCTTCCACGCCTACGTTTCTATGATTCAATGATTTCTGATGTTCTCCCTCCGCCCCCACCTCCCAAACTCAAGAGTTGACAAAAGCCAACAAAAATTCATGACCATGGTGGAGCGCTGTCCTTAGCTCCTGCCACGGCGAGATTGGCCGATGACTGGACAGGATGTGGGCAAGGGGGAAGCTCAGGCTTCGTTCTGAATGTCCTGGGGTCTGACTGGTTTGCGTTGGAGTTTGCCACATAAGCCTGTCCCCACAACCTGTCCCCAGGAGACCACTGCACAGTGACTCTGCGTATGGGCTTCTTTCCCTCAGGGAGCTGTCTCTGGGCAGCATTTTATGGGCCTTCTCCGCTAACACTAGTCTATAACGATCGTAGCTCCATTGAAGTCAAACAGTGACGCTGGTGTAAAGTGGTGTAAAATGAGAGGAGAAGTCAGCCCCTTCTATTTTTAAATCTTAAAGACTCACTCCTGGGCTGGAAGTTAAGTTGGCAGAGATCCAGCTGGAATGATAATTTTGAGCCTGCGTAATCAGAAACCTCTGACAATTGAGTTAGTTAATGTAAATAGTGACACGGGCCGGCCTTTACTGCAAAGTAGTGCTGTTTGGAAAGGTATTTAAACATGAGGGAGAGGGGACGGCTGGCTACTCCTAGAAGAGCTCGTGTTTTAAAAGGAAAAATGATCAAAACTTCATTAGTGAAGTGAGTCTGGCTACCTGAAGGACACAAACCTACCTGCTAGTTAGTAGGAGGCAGATTCACACTGAGCGGAAGTTTGGGCAGGAGACAAACTTTGTTCCCCTTGCTAAAAGTAAGTAATTAGATTAATAGATAAAGGGAATGGGCAGAAGTGAAGAGGACCCTCAGCCTGCTGAATTACATAGACAGAACTCCAATTCCTTCGCGGGGGGGTCCGGTGACCTGCTGAACCACAGGAGCAAAATCTGAATGGATGGCAAATAATAATCTTTTCTATAGTGCTTTGAGATCACACGTTTTAATGCATTTACCCTCACAATAGCCCTGGGAGGGGAGAAGCGCAGTTAGCCCCATTGTGCAGACAGGGAACTGAGGCACACAGAAGCTGAGTGACCTGCCTGATATCTCGCAGGAAGTCTGTGGCCGAGGAGGGAAATGAACTGGGATCTCCAACGTCCAGGACGAGACTTTTTTGGAATCCCCAAATGGAAATTTAGGTTCTTAATTCAAGCTGCAGCTGATCCCTGTGTAATGTTACGTTGGAAGGTGCTGATGGCTGACAGCAAGGGGTCTGGGATCCAAAGCCACCACAGACCTCGTTAAAGCCAATGGAGCAGGCACTCTCTTTCAGGCTCAATGGAAGGACAATCAAGCCCTGTAGTAAAACCAGCTGGGGACTGCGGGGCTAGCACCTGGTACTAGGCTGCATGGTAGGTCAAAGCAAAACCATGTGGGCTGAGGGGTTTCCCTGGGGACAGGCGCTGGGGCTGCGATATTGGTTCCAGGCTGTGTATGCTGGAGTCAGAAAGACAGGGGAAGGAGTTCTGAGCGTGACCTGGAGAGGAAGCAGAGGGACAGGGCTTCTTGGGCACAGAGCTTGCTGGCGTGTCAGACTTGGGGATTTCTGAGCATGGAAACTGCTTGCTGCTACTTGTTTCTGCTGTGTTCAGGGAGACAGGATTTTGGGTACATTTTTGGTGAATAAACAAGATTGCATCGAGAATATACCTGATGCACATCATTGATTTATTATTCTAACGAAAGCAACCCTGCAAGGCCCTGAACTTTGGCTTATCTACTCAGGAACAATAACTTAAAATAAGAGTGGGGCAAAATCTTTGTCTCTATTTGCCTTGGAAAGTTTCTTGCTGCTATTACAGAGCTGTGTTCCTGAGAAAGGCCTCTTTATAGCCTAGAAACATGACTCTTGGGGGCTGGGGGAACAGAGGGGCTGGATTTTGCCCTGAGTAAGAGATTCTCAGTGTTTGCGGTTCTGCCCTCAATCCCATGAGCGTCCGGAGCCGAAATTACACCCACCAAGTAGGCTGATTTGCAGAGCCTTTAACACTGCAACCCAAATATTATATTTGTATATGTATCCATTAGCCCCCACTCTCTGCCATAGTTAGTGCCCTAGTGCAGGCCAGGGGCTGACACTCATGCCAAGACTCTTGGCTACAGGATGGTTGAGGGGCTGGCGAGATGCCACCAGGTCACAATACTGCATTGTAATGGGATAATGGCTTTGTCATGGCATTGCATTGCAACCCACCCCAACCCTGCTACTGCATCCAGGAAGGGGCATCGAGGCCAAGGGGTCTCATGTCAAAGCATCTTGAGGGCTCTGTTAACCCTGTTAAAAATGTTGTGATCTCTTTCCCCTTTCCCCATGAGATAAGAAAAAGGATTCAGGAAATAGACATTTCTTTTAGTATTCTCTCTCCTGTGGAAATGTTTTGAGGAATGCTGCTCTTTGGATTAGTTTCAGCTGGAAAGAACATGGGCTGGATCCACCCACTAATTTGGAAATATGCGCGTCAGATCAAGCGAATCCTTCTGGCTGCTAATTACAGTTGTTCCCAAAGAAACATGCACGATTACTAGTTGCCGTCAAAGCACCAGTTTGCGCTGAAATTCTGACTGCCCCATGAGAGGAGAGAGCTAGGTATGCTGTGCTCGTCTACAGAGAAATCCCACTGGCAGCTGTGAGCTCTGATGGGAAAGGGAAGAGCAGAAGGGGTTTCCAGAGTCTAAGGTGTGTCTGATGCCAGCACAGTACAACCGAGTTCCCCTAAAGGGATTACAGTGCTTGAGGTTTGCCTCTGCAGACCGCGAATGCAAGTGCTCCCGTTCCTCAGCTCAAGCAGCAGCGAGATGGTGTGATAACCAGGCCAACGTTTTCCTTGCATGAGACTTTTAACAGTCGGTTGCTCTGAGCTCCACCAAATGCACACTTCATTTCGGGAGGGTCTGGCGGTAGGTTTGCCAGGTTCTGTTATGCATAGCTGTAAGTGTGCTGTCTAATCAGAGCAACTGTTTAAATTGGACTCAGCAAGGAAAATCAAAATTATTCCACTGGCTGCAATTACCATGAATTGAAAATATTTTGATAGGCTCAGCTGTGCTTTGCTGATTTGAAATCATACTGGGAGAGAAATTACACCCCGTTTGGCATGATAAGACATTTGCTCTGCTTTAAAACTTAATGCTTCCCTAATCAAGAGGAAGGATGGTCTTATGGATAAGGCCTTGGCAGCTCTGGGTTCAAATCCCAGCTCTGCCACAGAATTCCTGTGTGACCTTGAGCAAGTCACTTAATTCTCTGTGTATCTGTTCCCCCCCTGTAAAAGGAAGATAATTCCTTTGTCCATCGTGTCTATTTAGATTGTAAGCTCTCTGGAGCCGGGACTTAGGTGTATGTACAGTCCCTAGCCCAATGGGGCCTAGATTTTGGTTATGGTCTCTAGGTAATATCATAATACTACTAATAATAATCAGAACTATGTTATCAGCGAACGAGGACTAAGTGCCCTTCCTAGCGGCCGCTGGCATTTTTCTAAGATTATATTTGTAAAGAGCTTTGCTGCATGTTGATCTGCCCCACACAGATCTTCGCACTTGTCATGAGTGGCTACATAGCAAAATAAAACATCATCCAAGTACCTGGATCCAGACGGGCTCCCCTGTGGGCCCAGGGGATGTGAGGTTCTCCCAGTTTCCAGTCCTCTCGTAGGTGAAGGTTGTCCCAGCCACTTTGTAATCTCCATTCCATTGGATGGTCCACCCGCCATTCAGAAAGTATTTCTCTGGATCTTCACTCCTCAAGGCCAGGAAATTTCCTGCTTCTGCCACTTCCTCAATTCTAATCTCCCGGGCTCCAGCTGGGATCATCCCAATGTCAACGTAACCTGGGAATGTCATTGACTGTCAGTCTCAGGCAGTCAAACCCCATGCCAGATAAATCAATCACTTCCAGTCCAATCGCTAGAGCAATGAGAGCCTCCAAGCTGATTAAACAGAACATTTTGTCTTTTAGCTGCTGATTTCCGCATCAGCGGATACCTGGGGGCTCAGATAAAATAGCTCTTTCTTTCCAGGTTTCAGGGGTAGCCATGTTAGTCTGTATCAGCAAAGAAACCGAGGAGTCCTTGTGGCACCTTAGAGACTAACAAATTTATTTGGGCATAAGCTTTCGTGGGCTAAAACCCACTTCATCGGATGTATGAAGTGAAAAATACAGACGCAGGTATAAAAACATGAAAGGATGGAGGTTGCTTTACCAAGTGTGAGGTCAGTCTAATGAGATAAATCAATGAACAGCAGGATACCAAGGGAGGAAAAATAACTTTTGAAGTGGTAAGAGAGTGGCTCATTACAGACAGTTGACAAGAAGGTGTGAGTAACAGTAGGGAGAAATTAGTATTGGGGAAATTAAGTTTAGGTTTTGTAATGACCCTGAATAAAGACTGGGAGTGGTTGGGTCATTACAAAACCTAAATTTAATTTCCCCCATACTAATTTCTCCCTACAGTTACTCACACCTTCTTGTCAACTGTCTGTAATGGGCCACAAATATCAATCAGAATGAAATGAAGGATATTGATGGAATCCCTCCCTTCGCTTCCTACGTGTCCTAGCCAAAGCCTTTCAGAACAATTACACTGGCAATAATTTACCTTCTCTTTATTGCTGATCCTACTTTCCCCTGTGGAATTTCCTACCAGTCATGTTACTGAAGAGTTCCTGTTTGCAAACCAGTCCTGCGCCTCCCCCCACACTGCTGATACAGGGAAAATCTGGATCTACAGATTAAAGGTGTTTGTATTAAGAAAATCATTTAAAACAACAAGTCAGAATCTTTTTTTTCCTCTCTCTTATTCAAATAGGCGAGATCTTTGACCTAACCTCATTCTGTCCACTTGCTCAGTTTTCAGGGCCATGTTTAGTTACTAAGGGAGCTTAGTTATACTTTACAAAGTTCCAGTCATGTTTCTTTAATTAAAAGAAGTGCTGTCTCTATCCAGCTATATAAAAACCATCTTGGCATTTTAACATATAAAGCATGGGAACGGAAACAGAGCTTTCCTATTTTAAAAAAAAGTTGTGAGGGAATTTCGTGCTCAAAGACATAATGATAAATAATAATAACGGTACATTGTACTTTTACAGCACCTTCTGCCAAAGGATCTCAAAGCCCTTTATAAACGGTGATGAACTACAATCTCCTTGTGAGACTGGAGTTTTCCCTGTTTCACAGACCGGGAAAACTGACGCACAAAGATGCTAAGTGACTCGCTATAGGTAACCATGTTGTCCCGAGTCAAGCAGAGTACCTTAAAGGGTACCGCAAGGACCCTGAAAAACCAGGACTATCCACCACACTGGCCCATGCACTGTGTCCCCTAAGCAACATGGTGATCTGCCGAGTAGAGGCTTATCTATCCCCCAGAAGGTTACTACAAATGCTGCCACCACCGGCATGAACTGGCCAGGAGTACATGCTGCTCGCGCGTGCATTCCACAGCACATCTCTGCCTGCCAGTCCAGCAGTCTCCGGCCTTAGCTTGTAGGGTTCCTGGAGAAAAGGATCTGTGTGGTGGATTTGTCCCTTCTACCTGCAAAACCTCTGAGCACCTTTTATTGGTATATCTTATCAGTATTTGTTTAACCTTTTATGACCCGCTTCCCTTCCTAAATGAGCCCGTCATGGAACACGGGCAGGTGCTGTGCATTCTCACCAATTCATGCTGCTCACAAATGTTCCCTGTCAGAACAGGAACCAGCAAAAGTTCAGGGACAGGCTGGCAGACGGTTGTGACAGACAGCCTTACCCAGCCCCTCGCTCTCCTCGAACATCTTTTTCACAGTCTGGCAGGTGGATCCATCCCCATGGCACACCCCGCACCGATCCTCGACAGCGTTGGAGTCAATTTCATAGTCACAGCCCACGTTCTGAAACACAAGAACTCCCGTAGCTCACACTCAGTAGTGAAAATCTCTTCACAAGGCTCTGGTTTTAAATGACGAGAGGAGTGCAATTTCTGTTGGCTCCAACAGCTGCATTATACACTTCCAGAGAGGCAGAAAGTGCATGGGAGCCTGCTCTAATAATGTCAATGGGTCTGTTTCTCCATCACACAGCCCACAGGTGTCTCTCAGTGCCAGCAAGCTGTGCCCGAGTCACAGAGTGTCATGATGGGATCACCAGTCCTCACAGGAAATAATGAATGTGACCAGGACCAGGCTCACTGAGCGGCCTGCCTGGCAGTGTACCATTTGTCATTGGTAGGATGCGAAATAAGGAAGACAGACACATGGGTTACCCAGGGAGATTAAGGGCCAGATTCTGGCATGGGGGAAATCTTGAACTTACATACAGCCAGTTCCTCCTGCTTCCCTGGTGCATGGGGTAGGCTGGGGCTCTGGCTAGGAGCAGGGAAAGGCCACGTACAGCACCTAGCACCATGGTGTCCTGGTCCGTGGCTGGGGCTCCTTGGATTCTACAATACTATTAATTCCAAATGATAATAATAATGTCCGGGACTGGAGTATGCTGTGTTCTGCCAAGACCCAGCCAACACAATAGCCCAGAGGGGGACTGCTTTTGCCAGTGTAAGTGAGAGCAGCCTTGCTGATCCGGGAGTCTAGGTCAGGCCCCTGCCTGTCCCAGGAGCATGGGGTGGGGGGACGTTTAGGTGATTGTGCCCTGAACTGTTTTGTCCGTGGCCATCGCTGAAGAATCATGTATTGTTATTACATTTCTATTACAGCCTTCTATTTTGTTTCATTTCACCATCACCGGGTGTAGCCGTAGTATCCAAGCACTTGTTCCATCTCTCTTCTTACAAACGGTGTGGTCTCAGCTAATGGCTCTGAAGTCTGGTTCATCTTAATCTAGGGATCAGGGCACAAATAGATGCAACTCACTTAGCTTCAGTGAAGTTGCAAACACTTACACAGGGTTGAAGCCAGCCGGATGTCCCTTACGCTGAGGCACACCGCGTCAGATTTCTAACCGTGCACTTACTCATGACCACTTTTCCTGCCACCTGTCCTGCTCAGAAGGGATGAAGGAGTCAGGTCTGGCAGTTCACTAAAGGTCCACCAAAGCCAGCTTGTGTTGGTAGTTATCAAATTGCCGCATATCCAGCACCTGGGTGTCTTTTTGAAGTTAGGCACTCAAACACCTTGGCAAGAATGCAGTCCATATACCTGTTTCCATTTTCTCCTGGGCCTGTCTGTGAGCATCTAGCATTTGTTTGCACCCTTTCAATTTTACACAGATTTTGATGTGACGCTGGAGCAATACTATTTGTAAAAGCCCAACCGTTTACCTTTCTGCTCGTTTCTTTCAGAGTCTTCTGTTACACGAACCTAAGAGTAGGGAGTCCGTGAGGTAGGAGAAGAGAATTGTTGGACTTTGTTAGTGCTAAATCCCGTGCTTTAGTTGGGAGATGGCAACCTCCTGATTGGTAGATCTGCCAGTGCAGTTTCTCTGCAGTGCCAGGGAGATTTTTTATATTCTGCTAACGTACTGTGCGCACTCACATGCAGGTGGCAGTGCCCAGTCTCTCGCCCTTCAGTACCAGAGATATCCATTTGATTTTAGCTCAGTAAAAGCCCCGGAGTGAATGCCAAAGTTCCCAGCGGGGAGCAGAGGAGTGAAGGAGGCTGACAAGTAGACAGCACTCATGGCTGGCTGAACTTACACCGCGATTGCGGAGGAGAAGGACCTGGGGACACCGGCCCGCAGTTAGGGCTGGAGATAAAAGGGCCCAGTTGCAAGAGGCCCAGGGAAACAGCAGCGACAGACTGAATAAACAGTACATGGCTGGTGTGTATAGGGTCCCTGGATTGAAACCCGGAATAGAGGGCGGGCCAGCCCCTATCAGCCACCGGTAAAGTGTCGTGCAGCCCAAGAAGGGGACAGGCCTCATTTAGGAGCCTGAACAAAAAGGCCAAATCTAAATTGGGGGGGGAGGGATAGCTCAGTGGTTTGAGCATTGCCCTGCTAAACCTAGGGTTGTGAGTTCAATCCTTGAGGGAGCCATTTAGGGATCTGGGGCAAAAATCTGTCTGGGGATTGGTCCTGCTTTGAGCAGGGGGTTGGACTAGATACCTCCTGAGGTCCCTTCCAACCCTGAGATTCTACAATTCTATGAAAGGGCCCAGAGTCAGGGATGAAGGCCACAGAAGGGGCAAAGAGACTTTAGTTACTGGACTCTTTAATACCCCCAGGTTCATCTGGACTTTATGATATGGCCAGAGAGCCATGCCACTGAAGACCCGCTAAGGTTGGCTGGCAGCCTGTACCGGGTGCCAGGGGTGAGAAAAAGTCTGCAGTACCACACCCAGCCACTTGAAGACACTCAAGAGGTAAGTGCCCCTTCACACTGTGTGAATAGGTGAGTTGTCCCGTTTGGGTGCAGTAGTGTCCAGGAAAACAGTTTTATTTGTGTGATGGGGAAAGAACATTGTTACTTTTTCCTACCGTAAGAGCCTGTTCTGAGCCAAGGAGTTAGTTTTAATTTTGGTGTCGGAGACTAAGACAGCACCAGCTTTTGTGTGTGCAGCCGGCTCTGGCTGACTAACTTGTCATTCGCACAGGGCTGCTAAATCGCATTTTTCACTTGTACGTGCCCCATGAAGATTGCGACCCTTTGAGCTAGACGAAAAGTGCACCCAGCTCTGTGAGTACTGCTCAGCAGAGCAACTGCCACCCGGTTTTGGACTCGGCTCTGCTGGCAACAAAATCTGAATGGCTGTTTCTAAGGAAGGGTGAGATTTTCCGTGAATGGTTTTGACATAAGCAGCTGCAAAGATAATTGCTTATTGATTATTTCCCCATCTCCTCTCTGTGCCATATGGAGTGCAAAGGCCCAGCAGCCCACACAGATCTGGGAAAGTCTTGTTGTGCTGGTGTCGCTCTGCAACCATCTTCTTCCCACACACAACAAAGGGGAACAGGCAGCGCTGTGTTTCCTCTTAATTTCTCTCTCCGATTGGCAGCAGCCAAAACTTGAGTATGTTCAAACACATGCTGCTGCTCGGGTTTTAGCTGCCTTTCTGCTTTGAGTAATGTTGGTGAGTACATAGCAACCCACATGAGCGGGAAGATAAGGACTTATCTTTTCCCTTTGTCCAGTGGCTGTTTCTTTTTTATCCATTCACCCCCCGTAAGAACTCTAGGTCGAGCTCACTGCTGGCACACATGGGTGGCTTCCCAGCCTCCTCCCAGTCGCAGTCAACACATGATGTATAGAGCCAAAAATCACCCTCCTCCTTCAGGCTTGTTTGTATTAACAGGCTAATACCAAATAAACACTATCAACTCCAGCCCAAGGCTTTTCCCAGGCTCCTAGGATCAGGTCAGTGCCAGACACTGTGTTCCTGTCTGCAGATCCACTCCCACTTCCCCTATAGCCAGAGCGGAGTAAATGACCCACCTGGAACACTGAATGAGCAGGCTCAACAGGGCAGGTGCACAGAAGGAGTGTCCTGATAGGGATAACTCCCTCCAAGCACAAGGAGGCTGTTGGTGAATTTGGCCTGTGTTGTCCTTGTAGTCAGCTGGGTTTGTTTTCATTAATTATGTTGGGGAATATCTGGCGGCGAAAGCCGTCTGGGAACGAGAGAGCTCTTGGCAAGTCACTGACGGAGCACGCTGCTGACACAGAAGCCTGAGCACTGCACTGGCCCAGCTACTGTTTCTGTATGCATGCCACTATTCCACACAGCTAACCCAGGCGGTGAAACTCCACGCCACGGAGCAAAAGAGAAATGGCTGTAATCCCTGCATGGTTCATTGTACTCGATGGAATGGAAAATCTGCTCCTGTGTGGTCTGCAGGCTGATACAGCTGGCTGCGAAGGAAACCATGTGCTGCAACTGTGAGAGGGGCTGGACAATGGATCCACAAATAAACAGCACCTCTGGCCAAGGAATTAGGGTGCAAATCACCTCTGTGCAGAGCAGAGGGTGCTTTAAGTGGAGGCGAGGACTTGTGCTGGTCATCTGCAGAGGGGGGAATTTCATTGTACACATTCCCATCTTCATGGCAGTCCTTCAAAGTACATTTTTACCTAAGCGCTGCTGCAGGTACCGTGCACCTGCCACGCATGGAACTCTGACTGAACAGCTGAATCCCAATCATGCGCTGTCCGGGTCACTCTTCCCCTGCTTGCTCTGGGCAGTATTAGTGAGGTCAATTGCAAGAGGAGGGAAGTGGCTCACATGTAATTCCTGGAAACCACCATTACGCTTCAGAGAGTGGGCAGCCCTGTCAATGCAAGTCCAAGATAGCAATACATTTGGTCCATGGACTGCAAAACCGAGATGCCTCCAATTGCCTTCTACGTGTCTGATCCAATGAGCACTGAAGACTTTGGGGCGCTGTCCGTTAACGTCACTGGGCACTGGATAAGGCCCTATTTTAATAGGTAAAAATGGAGCTTAGCTATGAAATATAAAATAGAGGGTTTTCTTTGTGAAAACGTTTTCTAATAAAACATGAGGCATATTTGTTATCTCCTAAATCTACTCACCTGAGTAAGGGCTATGAGTGTAAGATTTTGCAAGACCGCATCCCTCTGTCCCCTGGAAAAGTCTTCACAGAAATCTAATGAAGACTCCTACAGGATTCCAAGGCAGACATGATTCGACAGTCCTGAGGTGGGTTTTAGTAGCAAGACAGCCTGCAAAACTTATACAGTCTGCTCTTCATCAGTGACACCATGTAGATGGTATTGCCGAAGGGTGTTTCTGCCAAAGGAATTGCTTCCTGAGGCTGGCTGTCATGCCTCCTTATCTGCCTCCCAGTTGGCTTTGGCAGCACTTTGTTCTAGGTATCGTGAGTTTGGAAAATGTCCTTCCCAGGTGTCAGTCAACAGAGTTCGGCCTGACGCCACCGTTAGTTTTTATAGAGTTTCAAAGAAAGGAAATAAAAATTTTAAAAATCAGAAACCCACAGGGTCTGGGTTCTATATTAAGATAAACATGTTCTTTTGTTCAGACGTGTCCATTGTTTAACTTCCATTCCTGAAGGCCAAATCCCATCCACAACATAGGTTCAAATATGGCCATGTCTTATCTTCATGCAACCCCATCCACATGAGTCAGGAAAAGACACCATCATTCCCACGCATGAAAATAATAACATGTTTGTCAATAAAACATTTGTTTTGGTGCGAGCAGGCAAAGCCCTTACACCATTCCTTCACGCGCACAACACACACAATAGGGCAAACAGTAACACCAGTTCTGGGTTTGCCTTTATTTAACAAATCTCTAAGACCAGTCTTGGGCTTACAAACATAACTGGACTTTTCGCAGCTAGATTCCTGTCTCTCCCTCTAAGTCTCTCTTCCTGAGAGAGCCAGTTGGAGCTGAAACTAAAGGGACTCATCTGGCCTGGCTTCTAGGGTGAGTCAGCAAAATAGCTCTGCACCTCTCCACAGGTTCTCAAAGACACGTTTCACAACGAGAGAAAACACCCAAAGCATACCTTACAGATCCCATTGATACAGATATCCCGGCTTGCGTTCCCTTCGTAACATGGAGTCCCGTCAATGACAGCATCCCGGAGCTTTTCGGAAAAGTATTCATCTTCTGGGCGGCAGTGCAACTCACACGGATTGACTGAGGGTTCCAAACAGACTGTAAATAAACCTGCAAGGCCAAGAGTATCTGCACACTTCCACCCAGGTCCTGTCTTCTCCCACTAGAGCCGTCCCTGCTACAGAACCACGACTTGCACTGTCAGGACTTTCCTCTGCTCTAAATAATCATCTTTTGACCCATAAACTAAACCTGCAAATGCACCTATGACCCCTTCGCTTGACGTGCTGCCAGCTTAGAACGTCAGCTCTTTGGGGCAAAGACTGCCTTTTTTCGTTCTCTGTTTGTCCCTAGTACAATGGGGTCCTAGTCCATGGCTTGAGCTCCTAGATGCTACAGAAATGCAAATAATAAATTAATAATAATATGCCTTAATTATGACAGCACTGAAAGGTAAAACTTCTTGGCCTTGTGCATGGATTCTAACCATTAATACAGATCATTAGTAAAATCAATTTAAAATAATTGTCTAGCTTTGCAGATAGAGGCTCAGGAGGTTGGACTTACTGTTGGTCGGTACTGGCGTCCACTTATAGAGCTTCCCTTTATATAGCATGGCATCAAACTGGCTGCACTGGATGTGACGGAAGGACGGTTTGTCTGTGGGGCACGGCTTCATGTTACAAACCCGGAATCGCTTCCGCTCCCCCAGGCAGTATTTACCACCGTACTTCGGTCTGTTATCAAAAGCAGGAGAACAGAAAACACAAGCAGGTGCAACACATTAGGATGAAATTCACTAACTTATCATAGAATATAAGGAGCACATTTCTCAGTGTGATCCCTATTGGTTGCTAATCTTTTAATTCACCACATTGGGTCAGATTCCCTAGTCAAGCAAAATCCTGTCTAAAGTCAATGGAGATTTGCTCAGTTAAAGTCCACGTAATTTGACACTGTATGTCAGGGGTCGGCAACCTTCGTCACACGGCCCATCAGGGTAATCTGCTGGCGGGCTGCGAGACATTTTGTTTACGTTGACTGTCCACAGGCACGGCCCCCCACAGCTCCCAGTGGCCGCGGTTCATTGTTCCCAGCCAATGGGAGCTGCAAAAAGTGGCGGGCCGTAGGGACGTGCTGGTCACCGCTTCCCGCAGCTCCCATTGGCCAGGAATGGCAAACTGCAGCCACTGGGAGCTGCGGGGGGGGGGGGGGGGGGGGAGGGCGTGCCTGCGGACAGTCAATGTAAACAAAATGTCTCGCGGCCTGCCAGCGGATTACCCTGTTGGGCCGCGTACTGAAGGTTGCCAACCCCTGCCCTATGACTTCATTTTTATTTATATGGAGCCAAATTCTGCTGTTATTTGCACCAATATAAATCCAGAATAACTTCACTGTATTCAGTGGCTTTACCCCAGCAGAGCAGAGAGCAGAACATAGCCACATCGACTCTACAATCACATGGAATAGAAAGCATTACCTGTGCTAACCAGAGATGGCTCAGAGCTTCAGCCTTCCATCCCAGATCTGAACATACACACACACCCTGAAATATGGGTAAGTTTGAAGTCAGCTGTTTGATTAGGACTATTCTAGAGAGGGGAGACAGATCTGGATTTGAACTGTGAAGCTCTGGTACGTTTGGATCAGTGGTTTTGGTTCCGATCTGTCGCTAGTTTTAATAAGTATGATTCTCCTTCCTCAGACAGACCTACAACTGTAACGCAAATAAGGAGCTCGCTTTTTTGCAGCTAACATACCCAAATGGAAAGTGCCACAAAAGGAAGTTATTTGTGTCGAATCAGACCAATGGTTGGTGTCTCTGTATCTGATAATCATATCCCTTCATTCGTTCCCCTGCTGATATATTGTCAGTTATTAGGAAATTTCTTTATTCTGGGGGCAGATCCTCACTGAAGTTGATGGGACCTTTACCACTGACTTCAGTGATTGCTGTATCAGGCTCTTTGCTAGTAAATCTTTGAGACACTCCATAAAAGCAGCAAACATTCCAGGTTAAACCTAAATCCATCATAAAGCCAGTTTTCCATAGTGAAATTTAAAAAGTCCTGGATCCCTGCTATACAACTTGTTTCTAGATTAATAACTTTGCTGATGATGTAATTGGCAGACATGTCTACTGGACCCATTGGGATTAGAACTTGACCTGCTGATGGTTTATTAACACAGCAGCTCAAAGATGGCTTTTACTAAGTGAATGTTGTCAAACTGAATTTCTTTATTGAAAGACCTAGCTCTCTTGTTGGCAGGTTACGTCATCCCCCCCTGCCCCCCCCCCCCCAAAAAGAGGCAACATTGTTTGCCATCTTGGGGAAGGGAGCTTTGATCCCTGGGACAAAGTCTTTTGCTCATCTTTCAACAGATTTCGTTAACAAATAAGCCCATAGAATTCTGTCTTTCAAACAGAAATGAGCTGAACACCAATTAAAAAATAATGAAGCTGCAATTTTGTGCAGGATTCCTGCCTTCTCTCCCCCTCCTTTCCCCCCCGGCCTGAAACAATGGCTGCATTCAGAAGCAACTTTCCCAAAGAGCCAATCTGACCTGGTTGTGAGAGGAAGATCTGAGGCCCTGCCAGTGTCTGTGTTACATCAAAAGGTGTGAGTCCTGAGCCCCATGGCTGTCGCGATGGCCTCCAGTTCGGCTGAACCTCTCCACTGACTCTATGCTTTAGAGAGGAACATCCCAGTCAGGCAGCCGTGGGCAAACAGCTAGCATCCTGAGCTGTAACACACCGTTGTACAGCACAGCAGACCTCTGGGCTGTGGCATCAAAGGAAAATTTGTGGGATCTGAGCTCTTTTCAATAACTATTTAAGTTAGCGAAAGTGACAGAATTTAAGTATAATTGACTTTTATCAGGGGTGCTTCTTGTTTACATTTTGCATTTCACTCCACTAGGACAATGAAACCTGACTAATTCCTTTTGGGTGTGTTTCTAGACAATTGCACTTTTGAGTTTTTCTGCCTTAGCAGAATGTTGCAATGTCTGGGCTACCACATTGCAGGGGAATATTTAAAGCCAAACGGGGGGGAAAACCCTATTTTCTTTTTAAAAATTAGAATAGAATACAATAAAGCACAAGTTAAATAATTTCTATGACTTCTTTATAAGATTTTTTTGTAAAACTTTTAAAAAGCAAATTTACATTGTGGATCTACCTCCACAGTGTGACTTTACTGTTACCAATATGGCCAATTTTAAGGCCTCGCTTTATGATGGTATAAAAATGGTTATTAAAGTTAAGCGTCAATGGTAATATTTGAAGCCCTTCTTTCCTGCAACTGCAGTCAAGAATCATTATCTACGTAGGAACCTACAGCCTCAGCCATCTCCTCAGCGTTTTCAAAAATTGACAAATGATTGCCATTTCTCAAGATAAAACTGGCTGGTTACATTCCACAGACCATAAAGCCATCTGTTTTACCATCTTTGCAAGTATGCCCTGATGAGATGGCTTTGCCTAACAGCATGGATTACTGGAACCATAATCTTCCTGAATTGGCCACACGTTTGTCAAAAATGGCCCAGCTATTGGAAACATGTCAACAGAGATCCTCTTTTGTCATTAAGTCTATTTCTGTATTCATAAACAGAAGGCACGGGTCCTGTCCTCTTGTCACGTGAGTATAAACATGGAATCATTCTATCCTTGAAGTGAAGCCTCACTGGAGTTACTCCAGGTTTGCACCAGTGTAACAGAGATCAGAATGTGGTCCATTTTGGGTCTGTGGTGGAGAGTGCTACTCTTCAGCTTTCCCAAGGACAGGCCTCCAACCCTGGGTCTGCTCCTGTTGCAGCTGGAATCAATGGCCAAACTGCCATTGCCTTCTGGGGGTGCAAGACTGAGCCCTTTGTGTTCCAAGTGCTGGGAAAATAACATCCACGGCTTACCTGCCTTGAGTCGAATGTTCTGGGACCGGTGGCCGGAGCACATGGTACAACACAGTTATTAAATCTATAAAATTACGATTAATTCCAGTGATTGTTTAGTTAACCATACGTCTATTGTTCTCCTTTGAAACAATGTCCCTCTCGTGAGTGCTTTAGAAGAGTAAAAATCTCAAATGTGCTAAACAAAAGGTTTGACCATCACACTTGATTTTGCATGTGATTATTATGTGCTAAATGTTTGCACTAATATAGCACCTGAGAGACTTTTTGCCAGCTGGAATACTTTGTTTTCTCTCCAATAGTCAGTTGTAAGTGAGTTCTCATTTGTCTCCATATTGTTCACATCACTACAGAAGCCTCTATGTTGCCCATCCCTCTACAGTTTGCCCTTGGTATATTTTTTTTTACAGATGCTTGGCCAACAAATACTAGTAGAACAATTGCCATGACTATTTATTTACACTTCAGGGACAGAGGAAAAGGTCCAAAGATCATACACACATACAGCACCATGAAGAGGTGGCAAGGAGCAATACCACATTTTACTAATTGAAACATAGATAGAGCTGCATAACCTCACTTGAATTCACATCAGCTCATTGGGTCTGGTTCTGATCTCACTTATACTAGTTTTATACTGGTGTGGAGTTACTTGTCATTTTTATCAGTGTAACTGATATCACTGGGGAAGTGGTCTGATGTGTAATAAAATATCCCATCAAATCCTACACAGAGTTTAGAGATAACATCCACACACACTAGCTAGAACTACTTTCCAGGCCCTTCCCCCCTTTTATAAAATAAGGAAAAGAAACCTTCACCTGAACTGATTGTAAACTCTTTGGGAGCAGGAACTGTTTTTTATTTTCTGTTCAGTGTCCAGCATAAAAGGACTATGACCCTAACTGGCGTTTGTTTATAGGTGCTACTTTAATTAGAGCTGGGTGACATTTTTCAACTGAAACTTTCTCTTAATCATCTTAATCTTCATCTTAAATAATTTTAAGCAAAAAAAGGTTGGGGGACACCAAAATGTTTTCCAAATTTGTGTCCATTTTGTCAAATTGTTCATTTGAAAAAAAAATCTGAAATGTTTTGATTTTTTTTTTGGCTTCAAACAACTTTGTGTTTCTAAATTTCCTTTAATTTTATTTTTAAAACATTTAAAATTTAAAATATTCAAAAATGTTAAGTGGTCAAAATCAAAACAAAACATTCTTTTTGACCTGAAATTAATTCTTTTTTAAACTTTTCAGTTTACTAAAAATAAAAAAAAAATGTTTTTGGTCCAACCTAAAGCTATTTTTTTTACTTTTCAAGATTGCCAATAAAATGAAAAAACTGTTATTTGCCAAACTCTAGCTGTAATATAATAAATGCCGAAGTGCCTGATACCAGCAGCATAAGTGATTTCATAACAATCTATTTACATATAGAAACTGGAATTCATCTGATGCAGAGAGAGTTCCCAAAAGTTGCAATAGAAGAGCTGGTTTGAATTTTTTGGCACAGTGTTTTGGGGATGTATGGAACAGACTTGGCCAGTCACAAGAAAAGGAATTGGTACGCTCTCTACCATGGAAATGAAGATGCTGAGATGATCAAATGGTTGGACACTCCATGACAGGAAATGAAATGAGGTTGTGAGGATCCTTATGTGGGTTGCCCCAATTGAAGACCAGTTGAGGGAGGCTACGTTACGTTGATATGGATGTGTCCAATGGAGACCTGAGAGTGTTATTGATAGGAATGCCCTTGCAATCATCATGGACGGAAAATGACCAAAGGTAGGCCAAAGAATCAATACATGGACCAGATATCAGTGGACCTTAGAGAGACCAATTGCATGACAGCCTGGTGTACAATCAAGAGTTTTGGAAGAAGGCTATAAGGTCACTGACCACTATAAGGTCACTGACCTCAAACAGAGATGTGTTGAAGAAGATGATGATGATGATTTTGGGGGGAAATTATCAGCATTTGCAGCCAACTGTCCCCACCATCTTTCCCACACTGCTCCCAGTCGGCCTCAGATCTACTCTGAAAGAACAACTGGCACTACTTGGCAATTCTGTAAGGAGTCCGAGTAGAGAGGCCAAAGACTGGAGGAGCTATAGGGACTGAACTCCTTTCCCATCACTGAAAGGTGACAAGTCAAAAGTGGACTACAGCAGAACCAGGATGAGCTCAAAAATATTTTAATGCAAAGAAGTCTGGAGGGCTATTAAAGAAATGGGCAATGGCTTTAGTTAGGCAACTCATGTGAGCAAGGCCTGCAGGACTGGATCACAGCCCAGACATGAACATGTGTCTGCAGTTGAAAGCCCCTCCTCCCCCATCTCCACACCATTTATATAGTGGAAGGGCAGTTCATTAAGGGTATGGTAGTGGGGTGGCCTGCCCCTTTAAGGACTGGAGGCCTGCAGCTCGCCAGCCTGTACAATTAACCTGCCTGCCAGGGATGAGATGTGGGGTTTAATTAGAATCAAAGGGCAGCAAGAAGTTGCTAGAGAGAGGGAGAAGCTCAGGAAACTGTAGAGAATGAGAGACTCCTGCAGGCAAGATCCTGAGGGCAGGCTAGGAGGAGCTGGGAGAAGCCTGCTCAAGAAAGAAATCCCTGAGACCAGCGGAGTTTGGGGCAGGGCCCAGCTTAAGGCTGGAGGGAATTTTTGTGTGTGTTTAATTTTGAACTTTGTTAAAAAACTAACTCCTAAGGAGGGTTGTTATTGGACTTGTAAAAGCCTCTTCTGGAGTTTATTGTGGAACTAAGAAGGGACACTGAGGCAAGGGGCTGTTTGCAGGGCTGTCCTGAGACCACCAGGGCTGCTGGGAGGTGGAAGGGCCACTCGATGCCAGATATGATTCAAAACTCAATGGAAGAAATGGGAATCTTTCAATTTCCATTGATTTCAATGGGTTTGAGATCAGGTCCTCAATGCTCCATGCTAATAATTTCTAAATGATGGAAAGAGTTTTTTCACTGTGCATGTAGGAGGCCCAAGCTCTGCCTTGTTTTCTAGGATAGAATGGGAAGGTTGTTCCAAAAAGAAAAAAAAGAAAAAAAAGAAATTAACGCTTCCCTAACACTAGCCCTAACCCTTTTTAAACGAGTAGAACTCTTTTTCAGTAAATAGAGTTATTCTCTGTCTGGAAGCTACCAGCACATCTGGGCACTATTTGTAGCTGTTTCCTGCTTCTTAACCCTTTGCCAACTTGAGCTTGTCATGACATTTCCCATGGCGCATTTCCATATGACCATAAGGAAGTTACATTTTCTCTGAACAGTTTCTTCAGGGGAAACTTGAATTAAAGAAAATAAAATTAATTTATGTTTTATGGTTATGGAAACACCTAAAGAAGAAAAACTATCCTATTCATATACGTGTTCGCTCCATCTGAAAAGCAAGGCCAAAGAGATTTACCTACAGCAGCCAAAACAAATAATTTCCTTGGGTGAGCTTTGCCAGCTTTGCAGTGTTTGCACTCCTACATGCCTGTGGTTGTGTTTAAAACCCTCTGTAAACGACAACTGCACTCCTCCAGCAAAACTCATGTCAAACATAAACTTTGCTCTTGACCTAGAAACAAGATTACATAAAGGGTTTTTTTTAAACAAGTTCAATTGCACATGCTAAAATGATGTACTTATGAAAGTGGTTAACCAGGGAACCTATTCTGGGCTCATTAGAGACCTTTCTTTATCTGATTCTGAAACTCCTTAAGCCATGAAAGGCTGAATGCCACCTGAAAAATAAGTAAAGACCATAAAATTGTTCTTGTGGTTGTGATTGATTGTGTACTCAAAAGACCTCAAGAAAACCAGGGGTGTGCGTTAAAACACTTAGGGTGGGAGTGCTGTTAATCATGCACCTACATTGTGAGGTCTGTGTTGTTAGTTCTGCAAACCTGGAATGTCGTTTCAAAGCTCATTTGGAAGGATGGACCATTGTGAAAATATTCCTCTGCCAGGAGCGTGGAGGCAGTCCCAACGTTACAGATTATCCTGCTTTATCCCCACTCTTTTTTACCACCAACCCTGGCACTTTTTTCTGGAGTCTCATTTTAGAAAACCTTCCTATCTTTTGCCCAGGTGGTGCCATTGCCTTTTAAGCAGAACTCATCATAGACTTCATGGGAAGTTCTGCTTACGAACTGATGGCATGACATAGCCCCACATCCTTTAAACCCACTGTGTCGCTATGGTTCATTATAACTCCTGCTCCTCACCTTGGGTCACAGGCTCTGACATTGTAACCTTTGGGAAAGCTTTGTTTCTAATACCGTCCAACAGTTATCTGGTGGGGGAAGGAAGAGACATCTGGGGACCAGCTGTGTCAACCCAGAAATCATGGAATAGACAATGCTACACCATAGTTTGTTATTCAGATGCTTTGATTATAGGGCCACCTTTCTTAGAAAGTTATGCCATATTTGGTCACTGCCACACTAAAGTCTGACAGAAAGAAATCCTCTTGTTGTGGCTCACACACCTTGTTATAACCTGTTTGCAAACTGCTCATTGAGAACAAAGGGCAGTAAAGGGTGCTGGAATTTTCCCCAGTGATTCTGAATCTGCTTAAAGGAATGTTTTTTCTTTTTGGCATTAAAAAAGACATTGCATATGTGTTACATTTACAAGTGCTTCGTCTTTACCTTTGTTTTGAATTGGGTTTCAGGTGCTTTCTGCCTGGACTAATCACAAATGATTTGTATGTAAAGATAGACAAAGAAAACTCTAAACCTCAATCCACAGACCTTCCACTGCACAGATTCCTAGCTAGCCCCATCAGTTGAACTGCTTGTGTGGTTTCAAATGTATGCTGGTTTAAAAGATATAATTAATGGCATTTGAAAATACCCTCTCTGGGGTCACCTCTTTGTTACTGTTTCACTGTGCAATACCTCATTAGGTCAGAGCCCAAGTGGTCTGAGCTTGGGGCAGGGTCATACCTTGCTAGATGATAAGAAGATATTCAGATATGTGCTGTAAATGGGGTTTTCCTAATGAAGTCACCTAGTCAATGAATCTAATCACACCTGGACAAAGCAAGAGCCTTAACTTACGTGGGGTTGTTGCATTGCCTTTCTGCGTTCTGCACGCCAGCACCACATGTCCGAGAGCAAATAGACCAAGAACTCCAGGTTCCCCAGCCTCCATCAATGGCGTCCGGGCGGTAGCCCACCTGCACACACTCTCCATTGAAGCACCACTGCGGAGTAACCCAGACAAGAGTGAGGCCAGCTGATGTTTAACAATACTCTTACAAGGCACTAACTGGCACTCGTTTATAAATCCCTAATCTGATGAACGTGCAGCACAGAGAAGAGAACTCCGAACGAGAGCGGCGTGCATCACAGCGCAATGGGAAACACCGGGACACTTGGTTAGTGGGAGGTGTGCACATGGGAGTAAGATTAGTTTGGTTTCACACACACCTATTTCACCACAACTCACGCTCCAGCTTCCTGGCAGTGCCTAGGCAGAACACGTGTCCAGCCTGAGATTAATGCTTTGGTTCTGGTGTCTGGCGGGGGGAGGGATAGCTCAGTGGTTTGAGCTTTGGCCTGCTAAACCCAGGGTTGTGAGTTCAATCCTTGAGGGGGCCACTTAGGGATCTGGGGCAAAATCAGTACTTGGTTCTGCTAGTGAAGGCAGGGGGCTGGACTCAATGACCTTTCAAGGTCCCTTCCAGCTCTAGGAGATGGGATATCTCCATTAATTTAAATTTATATAACAAAGGCTCTACCAGCTGGTTACCCGGTTAACATGGAGAACGGGTAAGATGGTAGGTTCTACAGGGAAAGCCTCAGGAGTCCTTCACGATCTGTAGAACTGAACTAAACTCTTAGGGCCAGATTATTGGCACCCGCCATTCTGCATTTAGCTCTACCCAGGAGTGGGGGACGTGCAAATGTTTTTATGTTACAGTTATTCTGTTTTATGCTACTTGAACCCGAAGCCACTGTCCTGGTCCCAAGATGCAATTTAGAAGAGTCTCAGGGTTGTTCTGTGACGTGCTCACTGGGAATAGCCCACAAAGGGTCATTACAGCAGCCAGGGATTGGCTGGTTGTGGCTGCTCTCTGGCCATGCCCTCTACACCTGGAGAGGGGGCATAGGAGCCGCGACCCTAGCCCTATGCCACACAGGGATTTCTCTGCCTGTTGTGTGCTGCTACTGCAAAAAAGCAGGTGGAATGGAGGCCTCGATCTGGTTGTTAATTCTCCTCTTTAGTTCTAGCTGCACGCGCTGGGCTGGAAGAAAGTTGAGTGTGAATGAGGCTACAGTTGCATATGCAATGCTTGGAAAGTCAGACCCGTAAGGCCAACAGCTGCCATGTGAACGCGTCACGGAGCAAAACACGACTCCGCCTCTTATGCTGCTTCAATGGATTTAGGGCCCAGTCCTGTCATTCTTACTGGGGCAGATCTCTCCCTGAAAGCCACTGGAGTTGTGCCAGAGTAAGGACTGCATGACTCGGTCTATAGTAAGCATCCCGACAGGGGTGGATTTTTGCCTGCAAAATTTTGGATTTTACCCGTTACCTTTAAAGTGAAGCAGAGGAGATCAAATCCCCCATTTCCCCCACACCCCACAGGTGTGCTGATCCTTGTGCAAGTTCACCCAATGTACCAGAAAAAATATACGCAGCTAGGTCCTTCTAGATCTCACCTTGGCAAAGCTGTGCCGGTAGCCGTGACGTGGCAAACATTAGCACCTCGCTGCCTCGGTGATTTGAAGCATACGCTGATTGAATACTCAACAGTACTGAACGTTTAAATAATGACCAGAACACACAAATCCAATGGAGCCGAATGTATCCATTTCTAGGTATGTTCGCAGCTGTAGTTCCGATGCTGCGGAATTGCATTCTGCAACTTGTCCTATTTTTTGACTTATATAATAAACCAGTGTGATGAACATCGCCCCTTACATACAGGAGAAGGAATTGACTGTGACTGCGAATATAATTTATTCTAATTACCTTGTTCTCGCCACACTTTGTGCCATCGACGGCAGCATCCAGCTTGGAGTGGCACGTGTTCCCCACTGAGCACCAGAGCGTATTGCAGACGTTCTGCGGAAAACAAGTGTGGACACAGCCTGGGGGTTATTGAGCATTCCAAAGGGCCACCCCAAATCTGACCTATTCGAAACGTGTTCACACACTGAATTATCCCACTGATCTAATCAGTCAGCAAAGAAAGCCACGGTGACCTTTTTGTCTATAGAACTCCCCTTCTGGCCACCCTTTTCTCTGGCAGTTTGGACGTTCGCTTTCCCATATATAGCCCTCTTACTTTCCTCTCCTTTACAGTGAACCTTCCTTAAACCAGGAGGAGAGAATGTTTGTGTGTTTGCTGTCAGTTTGGCTCCTTGGATCTATTGGAAGGGGAGCTTTGGGGACAGAGGGCTCCACAAACAAACCAACCTCTCTCCTATAATAAATGGAGATATACCTCTCTCCTAGAACTGGAAGGGACCCCTAAAGGTCATCGGGTCCAGCCCCCTGCCTTCACTAGCAGGACCAAGTACTGATTTTGCCCTAGATCCCTAAGTGGCCCCCTTAAGGATTGAATTCACAACCCTGGGTTTAGCAAGCCCATACTCAAACCCCTGAGCTATCCCTCCCCCCTAACTCAGGCAACATGACAAGGTCCTTTCTCCACTAACCATTCATAATGCAGGATTTATTCTCTTCATCAGCAGAGAGTGAGTTTCTATGCAAAGATTTTCACTGTTCAGACTGTCACTCAGCAGTCACAAATTCTATCATTACATAAAGGAAAACTGCAGGAACACCCAACCCCGACTTACATCCATGTCATCGCAGAAGGCGGAGTATGCTCCATACTGCAGCCGGCACTGATGGCTGACGTCATAGAGAACTCCTGGTGGAACCAAGGGGTAGTCTACTACTTCTTTGGCAGGTGGGTCATCCAGACACAACCCCCAGCCTCGACTGCAAACATGAAATGGACAAGTCAGAATCAAGCAGACGGGGATCAATGTAGGGCACGAAGAGACCCAGCAAAACAGGCTCTTGTAGAACATTAGAATTGTTGTTAAAAACAAAGGAAGAATCGTAACTCTGGTGCATAAATGGCAACCAAGAGTCATCTGCAGCTGGTGAGCACCAGTAGCTCGTTGCTCTGATACCTTGCTGGAGCTGAGATTTCATGGGAGAGCCTGTTCTCACGGGCTTTCCAGACCACAGTTGCTGACTCAGCGCAGCTGGTGAAAGTGGGGGCAACTCCATAGACGTCAATGGAATTACATCCACTTAGCCCAAGAGGTTTCAATGAGCTCAATGTTAGGTACTCAGCTGAGCCCATGAGGCTGTGAGGATTTCCAGCGCTTACCGCTTACCCCGCTGCATGTACATACAGTGTTCTGTGCTGGCTGCATGAGAACAGCTATTCCCAAGCATTACCTCTTTGCTCTATTTCTGCCTGTAAAGTATTTCAGAATTCCTTTTTACTCCCGCTGAAGTTAGTGGTGAAACTCCCAGCATATGGCCCACTTTGTGTGCAAGACTCCATTGAAAACGTCACCAGAGACCCCCACATTTAACGTTAAATCAAGAGAAGAAAAAGCTTCCACTCATCGGTCTGAATACAAATAACTCCAGCCTAAAACCTCATTGTCAAAGATGGGAAGGCAGCCTGGTTTTTACTGTGGTACCTTGAAAGCACTCAAGGAAGTTATTACTGTGCTTAAATGAGCTATCACAAAGCGGAGAGCAAAATACTGCTCGGACACATTCTTAACCTGCCAAGATGAGAAATGTTCGCTATAAAATTACACCTCCCTGAGAGCAGCTGTCAGGGTTTTTCTTGCACCAGGTTAATTTGAGAGGGAAGTCTGAGTCTGCAGCCCCTTCCTTAAGCCTAGATGGAACAACACTGGTTTCCTCTGCTCTGTTTATTAGTTTTGCTCCTTTAGAGTTTGATGAGGTGGCAGGCTTGATGCAGACAGCCTGCACTTTAAATTGAGCTCTTGGCCTTGTTCCTATTATGGGAGACACTTTTCCCTGTTCCCAGCATCTGGCTTTGTGCCTGATGCTTCTGAAGCCCTGTCTATAGATCCCTTACTCGAGAAACCTGCACTCGGTCCCACCCCGCACCCCAGCCATGGAACAATATCTCCCATTACCTGTTTCATTTAAAGGTCTCTGAGAGCTCATTGCAGTGCAATGGTTGCTGTCGGATGGAAAAGACAGCACCAGTTCTGTAGGTCATTTAAAATATAATAGCGCACAGGCTCCTTGTCGCAGCTACCCTGAAAGGAGCACAGCTTAAGGTCAAGAGCTGCAAAATCAGGTCAGCTAGAGAGATGCTGTTAGTGCCGACATGGAAATAAATAGCTAGGATATCTTACCAGCAAGTCAGGGAGGGAACCATAGAATATCAGGGATGGAAGCGACCTCAGGAGGTCATCTAGTCCAACCCCCTGCTCAAAGCAGGACCAATCCCCAGACAGATTTTTTGCCCCAGATCCCTAAACGGCCCCCTCAAGGATTGAACTCACAACCCTAGGTTTAGAAGGCCAATGCTCAAACCACTAAGCAGACCCAATCTATTGGTAGAGCTAATCTAGTCCCAGTTAAAATTAGCACAATAAATTGTGGGTGCTTCCTATGTGGTGTAGGACAAATAAGGGCATCGCAAATGTGAGTGTGTGGAAAAGACTTTGCACAGCTGCATTTATTTCAGTCGTGAGGCATCAGCGTGTTTATGTTCTCGCTCAACGTTATTTAAGAAAGGCCAGCTGCTGAGCTCAAGAGGATGCCAGTATTCGTAGGAACCAAGCATAACACTTGCACATCAAGTTGTGACAATGTTTACGTCCACAGAACCACAAGATGTAGACATAACTAGCAGCCGTTTTATGAGCTTCAGGAACAAAATCCAAATGGTGTTTCAAAGCACCACAGCAGGAAGGGACAGGCAAAATATTTTTAAACAAATGTTTACCAGCATTGGAAAGAAATCTTTAAGGATGTTTATGTTACGATGGATTTTTAACCCCATAGAGGAGATAAAGTCAGAGATGAAAAAGACAAATAAAATGGTTTCCGCTCCATCGCAGTTTTTTTCCTCCTGCCTTGCGCTTCATGGATATCCAGAAAGTTACGTATTCAGCCATGCCACTGTGCTTGCATTGCAAAATGAGCAGCACGTTAGTTTCGTTTAACCGGTAGAGTGCATTATTCTAGGGCAGAGATGGTGCGTTTAGAGGAGATGGAAGATACTTTTCAACAGCTATACAGACAAACTTTAATTTTCTTTTAAGTCCTGTATTTTGGAGAAGTGGAAATTTTAAGGCATAACAGCAATAGCATCCTCCATTTAGACAGCGCTTTCAGTACATAAGGATCCCACTGCAGTTCACATTTATAGTCAGCTCTGCTACAATGCAGCTGCCTCCAAAGTGAAGGGCAGCCATCAACCACCATGCACCATAGTGAGCGAGGGGAAATGGGGGACAAACAGGTAGTTTTTCATGAGAAACCAATGCTATAAGAGTTCAAAAACAATGCAAAGCAGACGGGATCTCGGCAGGAAGGCCTTGTCCAAGAGACCCACACATAGTAAAGTGCACGCAAGTCAATTTGTCTCCTCTGTGGGGAAGCAGACCTTGATCCAGGATTTAACTCTGTCATTCTAAGGAGCCAAGCTTACACCAAAACACTTGTCTGTTTAAAAACATCTTGGCTGGCATTTATTTAATTTATTTATTTAGATAAAGCAAGTCAGAAGCATCCTGACTCTTCCAGAATAAAACAAATTGGAGCACAGGCCTGGGGTTCAAACACAGAGATCTCCTTCCAGTCCTTGTAACAACAGCTTCTGCAGAAATGTCCCCCTTAGCCTGTACTGGAGGTGTGTATACTCCGGGACTGGCTTGGGGAGGGAGAATTTAGTGATTAGCTTTCCCCATGCAAACCAAGGCTCTCATACCCACAGCGCAGGAAGAAGGCAAAGCCCCTTGGCAAGCACATGTGTTACATGCACTTGCTGGAAATGGTTATAATTTGTTCCTGCAAAATATGCTAATTGACTAAATATATGAATGGGGCACCTACAGACCGTGGGAGATAAGGAAAGGATAGGGTTAAACATCTGTCATTTGAAATGGGCAGATGAGGGTGGGATGCAAGGGGATCTGACAGTTCTCTAATGTGTAACAAAACAAGGTAATAGCAAAGAAAACGTCTTCCAATGAGTCTCAAATTTGACATCCGTCCAAATCCTGCTGGTCTTAGGAAACTGAAAAGGCTTCACCAGAAAGGGAATATGGACCAGAGGATCCTGTTTGAGTTGTGAGGGACCATTAGGCTACTTAAGCCTAGTGGTGCTTCTCTGGGTAACTCCTAGTTTACTGGCAGGAGGGTCGAGCCTGCAATATTGCTGCTGGAATGGGTTTGGTTGCACGATCCTCTCTAGCCTTATGACCTGGAATCAGCTATTAAAGCGCAATAGTAAAACAGATGCGTGTAGCAACAGCCTGATGAGGCTCTAAACTCCCGACTCCTTGGAACCTCCTTACCCAAGTCACAATCTGAGCAAAGAGCACTCCTGGGGGAGTTGTTATAAAATTGCAACCACTTACTGCTTCAGCATTAGGGTCTTAATTCAGGTCGGTTTACAACGCCCTTGACTTCCACCACGATTAGCATTCACAGACAGGACAAGCACTATTTGCTTGATTTAGTACCATGCATTTGTCTCAAGATGAGCTACAAGAGAATCCCACTACCAATCGCAAAGCATCTCAGCGACTCCCTGGAGGAGTACAACCGATGGCACATTCACCAGGAACAAGCGGCAGATTTTTAGCTGTATAATGAGGTCACAGCCAAGTTCCTCGCTCTGAGGAAGTCATGGCCTCAGTTTCATCACTTACAGGAAAGGGCCTCATTGGTGCAAACAGGGCTAATGGCAGATGTCCTGGTGCTTCATACATCATACAGTTAATGTCAACGACCTACTAATACAGATGGTCAGCACCAAAGCTCACTGACCCTCAGAGCTGCAGCTCCAAGCTACAACCCTCAGAAATGAAGCTGGTAGGTACTGAGGAGAGCACCTTTAAAGGAGGTTGCGTTTCTGTGGCTACTACTGTACGCAGTACGAGCGAATGTTCCTCACTGGCACTTTCCCCAGGCTCATCGCTCGTGTTCTTTACCTCTTGAAACATCCAGGTCTTTCTATGGTTACTAAGAAGCAAAGACGACCGGGTTTGTTGACAGTGGTATTTCAGATGTTAAAGTCTTCAGCGGTTAGTAAAAGTCAGTGAGGCATGAGGATACGTTTAGAGGATGCCTTGTGGTCACTAAATTCTGGAATGTTCCTGATCTGCTCTCATTGCCATCGAATGCTTTTGCTGTATTACCCTAGGGCTTGTCTATATGAACAAGTGTCACCGGTTTAATTTTAAGGAGTTTATTTAAACTGACTTCATTCACCTGATGCAAACCCCTGCCTGGATACTCTGATTTCAGTGTAACACGTGGATTATAGCAGTTTAACTTAAGGCGACTGGGAAGAGGTTTAAATTAACCCAAAATAAGACAGTCTTAAACCAAAATCGGAGTATCAGCACAGGGGTTTAACTAGATTGATTTAGAAACTGATTTAAGTGAAACTGGCCCGCCATTCTCACGTAGACAAGGTCTCCCCCTACATGGGGTTACAGCCTATCACACAGTCAGATACACTTCCCCACAACACTCAATGAGTAGAGTGTACCCCCAGGATAGACACGCTGTACGTTTCCAAAGGGTGTACCAGTCCGGTCCCAGACAGCACTCCCCATTTGGCCTAACGCACAATGTCTCTGCCCAGTAAGGCTGCTCATCTCCTCACCCTTCCTATCACAGAGCATTGGCTTTGCAGCCCCATGCAGCCCGTGGAAAACGCAATGATTTAAAATTACATGGATCTTTTTCCACAAGCA